TACTACTACTACTACTACTACAACTACTACGACTACTACAACTACTAGTACTATTACTACTGCTACTACTACTACTACTACTACTACTACTACTACTTCTACTTCTACTTCTACTACTACTACTACTACTACTACTACTACTACTACTACTACTACTACTACTAGTACTATAACTATTACTACGACTACTACGACCACTGCTGCTGCTACTACTACTACTACTACTACTACTACCACCAACTACTAACTACCAACACTACAACAACTACTACTACTACTACTACTACTACTACTACGACTACTACTACTACGACGCCTACTACTACTACGACTGCTACTACTACTACGACTACTACTACTACTACTACGACTACTACTACTACTACTACTACTACTACTACTACTACTACTCCCACTACTAATATTCCTACGACCACGACTACTACTATTTTTTCTTCTACGAGTACTACTACTACGACGACTACTACTACTACTACTACTACTACTACGACTACGACTACTACGACTAATACTACGCCCGCTTCTACTACCACTGTTCCAACTACTACTACTACTACTACTACTACTACTACTACTACTACTACTACTGCTACTACTACGATTTCTACTACTACTACTACTACTACTACTACTACTGCTACTAAGGTTGCGGCTCGTACTACTAATCCTACGACTACTAGTACTGCAACGACTATTATCACTACTACTACTACTACTACTAGTAATACTACGATTACTAATACTACCACTACTACTACTACTACCACTACTACTACTACTACTACTACTACTACTACTACTACGATTACTACTACTACTACTACTACTACTACTACGACTACTACTACTACTACCACTCGACCTGGCAAAACTACTACTCTACTACTACTACTACTACTACTACTACTACTACTACTACCACTACTACTACGACTACTACTACTACTACTACTACTACTACTACTACTACTACTAGTACTACGACTACTACTACTACTACTACTACTACTACTACTACTACTACTACTACTACTACTACTACTACTACTACTACTACTACTACTACTACTACTACTACTACTACTACTACTACGACTACTACTACTACTACGACTGCTACCACGACTACTACTAATACTATTAGTACTACTACTACTATTGCTACTACTACTACTACTACTACTACTACTACTACTACTACGACTACGAGCACTACTACTACTACTACTACTACTACTACTACATACTACTACTACTACTACTACTACTACTACTACTACTACTACTACTACTACTACTACTACTACGACTACGACTACTACTACTACTACTACTACTACTACTACTGCTACTACTACTACTACTATACTAACTACTATGACTCCCACTACCACAACAACTACAATCACTACTACTACTACCACTACTACTACTACTACTACGATATATTACTACTAATATACTACTTACTACACCACTATACTACTACTACTACTTACTACTACTACTACGACTACTACTACTACTTACTACTTACTAACTACTACTTACTAGACGAATACTATACCTACTACGAGTACTACTACTACTACTACTACGACGGACATGTCGACGACGGACGACGACGACGACGACGACTACTACTACTACTACTACGACTACCACTGTCGCTACTGTCGCGACTGTCGCTACAGCCATCTTCCTGCTACTCTTCTCATCATTCCTCCTCCTCCTCCTCCTCCTCCTTCTTCGTCTCTTCCTCCTTTCCCTCCCACATCATTCCTTCCTCATCTTGCATCCACCTTGTTAAGTGTGCCCCAAGGCAGCGCAGAGCAAAACCCAGTCCCCCCCTCATCTTCCCTCCTCGTCTCCTCCTCCCCCGTCTTTCTCCCCCTCATCCTCACCCTCCCCCCTCATTCTCCTCCGCCTCCTCTCCCCCCTCCTGACCATCCCCATCCTCCCCTCTCCCGCCCTCCACTCCTCCTCCTCCTCCCTCCTCCTCCTCCTCCGCCTCGTCCTCCTCGTCCTCCTTCTCCTCCCTCCTCCGCCTCGTCCTCCTCCTCCTCCCCTCCTCCTTCTTACCATCCTCATTCTCATTATCATCCTCATCAACAACATCCTCCTCCTGCTCCTCCGCCTCGTCCTCCTCCTCCTCCTCATCCCTCTCCTCTTCCTCCTCTTCCTCCTCCTCCTCCTCCTCCTCTTTCTCCTCCTCCGCCTAGTCCTCCTCCTCCCTCTCCTCCTCCTCCTCATCATCATCATCATCCTCCTTCTTTTCCTCCTCATCCTCCTCATCATCATCCTTCTCCTTCTCCTTCTCGGTATAATTATCCTCCTCCTCCTCCTCTTTCTCCTCCTCTGCCTCCTCCTCATCATCCTCCTACTCTTCCTCCTCCTCCTCATCCTTCTTCTTCTCAGTATCAGTATCCTCCTCCTTCTCTTCCTCCTCCTCCTCCTCTTCATCCTCATTCTCTTTCTCCTCCTCCTCCTCTTTCTCCTCCTCCTCCTTCTCCTCCTACTCCTACTCCTACTCCCACTCCTACTCCTACTCCTCCTCCCCATTCACACACACTCGCACACACACACACACACACACACACACACACACACACACACACACACACACACACACACACACACGCAACGCACGCACGCACGCACGCACGCACGCACGCAGCACGCACGCACGCACGCACACACACACACACACACACACACACACACACACACACACACACACACACACACGCACGCACGCACGCACGCACGCACGCACGCACGCACGCACGCACGCACGCACGCGCGCACACACACACACACACACACACACACACACACACACACACACACGCACGACTTTCCCTCCCACTCTTCCTCCCCTCGACAGGACGAGCGCCCCGATAGCAAGGCCGACGTGCTGCTCGTGCGCGCCGAGGGCGCCGAGTTTACGCTGCACTGCACAGAGGGCCGATCGTGCTCGCCTCCGTCGTATTGGGAGGTCCCTTCCGCCCAGCCGTGCAGAGGAGGAGCAGCTGCTGCAGCAGGAGCAGGACAAGGGGGAGAGGGAGGAGGAGGAGGAGGAGGAGGAGGAGAGCGAAGGGGAAGGGGAAGGACCTGGGTGACCTCTGCGGCCTGTGGGGCCTGTGAGACCTGCGACACCTGGAGTGCCTGTGAGACCTTTGGGATATGTGGGAGCTGTGGGACCTGTAACACCTGTAGGACCTGTGGGACCCGCAGTGGCACAGGCGGGACCTGCGAGACCGGTGGGACCTCGGGGACCTTTGTGGGATGTGTGAAACATTCTACACAACTGGGACCCGTGGGACCTGTCGGACCTGTGAGACCTGTGGGGCATGCAAGACTTGCGACAGTTGTGGGACATGTAGGACTTGTGGAGCCTGTCAGACCACTGGTACCTGTGGGAACCTGTGGGGCCTGCGAGACCTGCGAGACGTGTGGGATCCAGAAAAGTGGCCCACGCCCACAGAAACCCCGAAGAGCCCTCCAAGAACGCCCCCCAAAGGCATCCAAAGAGACTTCCAGCATGGTTTTGCCAGGCTCCTCGGGGCTCTGAGGCATCCCCCCATGAAGCTGCTCTGGGTCCTCCTCGCAGCCACCTTGCGCGCCTTCCTGGAGCCTTCCAGGGTGCTTTCCAAAAAATTGCTGTGGGACTCGCCCTGCAAGCGTACCTCTGTCGCGAAGTCGTGCTGGACGTCGCCTCCATTAGAAGAGTGAGCCGCGTCATCTGTCTGGCACCGTGTGTCGCGCAACATCTCGACGCTTCCCAGCAAGGCACAATACGGCCAAAGGAATTCCCAAGGCCGCGCAAAAGACGGCATCGACAGAATGATTAGAGTTGCCTCATACCATTGGCCCCCAGGGTTACCAAGGGACCTCCGAAGGCACTTCTAGTTCGACGGGCTAGGAGCTCTCGAGCCGCCCAGGAGATCTTCAAGACCGCTGAAGACGGTCCACGGGCCGGGAGCCTCGCAAAGCCTCCCAACGGTTACCTTCGGGCACCTGTTCGGTGTATCTGCTCAGAACAGCAGGATATTTCGGGGCCTGCTTATTCAGCGGCGCCTGAAGCGTTCATCTGGAAGTATGCTCCCATATGGTGATCTTTGCGGGACGATGTCCATCTCCATCCGATCCCGTGAGGTTGGCTTGGGCTGCGCTAGAACCTTCGCGCGCGCAAAGCGCGTATGGTTCTAGTGGGTATGTCTGTGTCTATATGTAGATACCTGTATACATGCATACATACATGCATACGGAGCTTAGACGCATGTCAGATGGTTTCGATTCCAACCATGTGCGCATTGCGAGTATGTGTACGTCATTGGTTGTTAACTCGTCATTACCACCGGCCCCTATTTGCAGAAAAAAACATACATACCTACAAGCGTACTACATACAACCATACACATATGTATAAATATATATATACATATATACACATGCATGCAGACATACATGCATACAAACATGCATACGTACATACATTTACATGTATATATGTATAAATATATACATATACATATATATGTATATATATATGTACATGTATATATACATATACATGTACCATTGCACAGACATGCATATAGACATGTACAAATACAAATGCATATACATAGACATACACAAATACATAAACATAAACATATGCATATACATGTACATATACCTATACAGATATGTACATGTACATATACGTATATGTATACATATACATATGCATGTACAAATACATATACGTATACATATACATATGCATATGCATATACATATACATATACATATACATACTAACAAGCATACATACTTGCATGCGTGTATGCATACATATGTCTATATAGATATATACGAAGGGTTTTGCCCTCTGCCGCCGGCCCCCCTATTACTAGTGCGGTCGGTTGCGTGGGGGTCTCCTTGGGGTCTCTTGGGGGTCTCCTTGGGGCCTCTTGGGGGCCTCGTGGGGGTCTCCTGGGGGCCTCTTGGGGGTCTCCTTGGGGCCTCTTGGAAACAATATTTTGGGTCTCTTGGTTGGGGCCTCTTGAGGCGTCTGGGGACCTTCTTGGGGCCTCCTGGGGCCCTCTCGGGGTGGAAAGGTCGAGTTTTCGATGTGTGAACTCCCTCTTGGGCCTCTCTTGGGACCGTCTTAGGGCCCTTTCGGGCCGTCTCGGGCGCCTCATGGACCGTCTTGGGGCCCTCTTCGGCCGTCATGGGGCCGTTTTGGGGACCTCTTGGGCCGTCCTGGGGGCTTCTAGGGCCGTGTTGGGGCGATCTTGGGAAGTTCTTGGTCTGCTTCGGAGCGTCGGAAAGCTGAGAAGGCAAGAAGGCCAAAAACCGTCAAAATATGAAAAATCGTTGATTTTTGCCTCGTGGGGCCCTTTTGGGAGGCCTCTTGGGAGGCCTCTTGGGCCGTCTTGGGAGCATATTGGGCCGTCTTGGGAGCATCGTGGGACATCTTGGGGCCATGTTGGGCCGTTTTTGCCTCCTGAGGCTCTTTTCGGAACCTTCTCGGGCAATCTTGGAGGCCTCTCGGGCCGTTCTGGCCGCGCGGTGGCGTCACCGTGAGAATCCTGGGGTGGCCCGGAGCAGCCTGGATTTGAGGTTCACCCCCCCCTCGGGGCCCCTTAGCAGACAGAAAACAGGAGGCAGGAAACAGCACTTGAGAGACAAAAGGCCAAAGAAGAAATGACAACACATGACATATGACAGCAGATCACACACACACACACCTTTGCAGCCTTGCGCCCCCGGAGGGGGGCCAGCGGAAATGTGCAGACATACACACACACACACACATACATACATACGTGCATGCATGCATGCATGCATACATACATACATACATACATGCATGCATACATACATACGTACATACATATACACATGCATACACACATACATACATACATACTTTCATACATACAGTCATTCATTTATTCATACATACATACACAAACAGACAGGCATATATGCATGCATACATACAGGCATGAAGACATGCATGCACGAATGCATGTACACATGCGTACCATGTAGACATACAAGCGTACAAGTGTACATGTATGCGTGCATGTGCACATGCAAGCATGCAAGCATGCATGCATGCATGAATACATATGTGCACACACACATACATGCATACATACACACATACATACGTGCGTACATACATGCATACATGCATGCATGTATGAATATACACGTGCATGTATGCATACATACATACTGCATACATACATACATGTGTGGATTGTCATGTGTCGTCGTACTCCCCACTGCTAAATTGGGCTACAGGGCTGATGATGAGTGCCCTTTTATGCCAAGATAATGGGGACAACGCCTGGCATCGGGCGTGGCTTAGCCAACATTACGCCCCTTAGCCACTAGACGTGAACACTTCAGCGAAGAGCGCATTGCTCAAATTGTTGCTGCTGGTCCTAGTTCTTCTCTGGGGTACATACTGCTGTTTGCTTCTCAGGGCGTCCCGCATGCCGTCCCTCATTGGGACCTCAGGTTTTCGAAGGGGGCGGGAGAGAGACGGGCCCGCTTTTTTTTCAATGACGATGATGTTTTCATTAGCGGCTCGCGCTGTCACGATGATCGGGAGGAGATCGCCTGAGCAGGAGTTGTTGTTGTGCACATGCAAGGGGAAAGGGTCGTCTGCGTTATTTGTAATTCCTCACGTGTGGTTTTCTCCACTCACCAAGGACTGCTGAGCACGGAGCTTTTGCACTGGCTGTTCTTCGGAAAGAGATCTACGGATCCGAGGCCTCCCCTAAGACCATCGTCGTCGATTACCAGTCGTTGCTCTCTGGGGTTCGATCGTCTAGTCAGGCCTTGGGCGGGCCTTGGCTTTCAGTTTTTTGTCCGACAGCAATTGAGCAAGAGGATTGGCCATTCAGCGTGGGTCTCTCTTGCCAAGGTCAAAGCTCACCAATCCATCGAACATGCTTCGGACCAGGCCTCCAGGGACCTTGTTGCTGTGCCCACTGTGGGCGATTGGTGGGCGAAGCAAGGTGCGAGGGTGCATGACCTTGCGCCTGATGAGCTGCCTGGTTTTGAGAATGCTGAGACCGAATATCAAGCGTTGTGTGTTGGTATGGTCTCCGTTCTCGCCATTGTCCCTTCTGCCGAAACTCTCTTCAGCAGGCTTCGTCGGCTTGCCGGGGCCTCTGTCCGCAAGCCGCGAAGCTTTCACGTCTTGGTTCCCCACGAGGACATCCATAGGTGCATGCGTTGTTCACGGGCTGTTGGTCCCGCGAGAACTTCAACTTGTCGGGAGCTCAATCCCACCTTATCCCGCCTCCCCTCTGGTGGGGCTGGGACCAATCATGAGCTTCAGTGGACGAGGATCGTCGATTCTGGTTTGCCTGTAATCTTCCATGTGCTTTGCGGCGCTTTTACCTCGTCGACGCCTGGAGGGAAACTGTTGTTTCCTTGTCTAGACCAACCCCGAGATCCCCAGAGGCCTCTGGAGATCCGTGGAGACCCTGGGAGACCCCCTCTTGCTTCTCGTCCTCCTCCCCCCACTCTTCCCATGCCTCCTCCACCTTCCCCCCCTCGTCATCCCTCTCTGGCTGCTGGCCATCCTCTCCATCCTCCCCACTATCCTTCTCACCATCATGATGCTCTTTCCCAGTCCTAAAATCGCCCTCCCCCTCCCCTTGGGGCCTTCCCCTCTTCCTTATCACGAGAAGCCCGACGTCGAGATTTGTTCATAGTTTGACTCCCAGAGGTCTCCACCCTTTCGGTGGGACCAGCTCTTCATCCTGAGTCGTTTTCTGACGGCCTCAGGGCCTGGCAAGGGCCGCCAGAAGCCGAGATTGGCCGGAAATTTTCCGTCGCGCCATTGTTCACAACGCGAGGGGTCTGGTTCTTCCCCCCACGCCCCCTCTTCGGGGGCGTCCAAGAGGGGGGTGATGATTGGGAAGGGATGTTACGTCCGCCCACCGTTCGTCCGCGCACATGCCTCGGGCCATGATTTGCGAACACCCCTCTTGGACGCCCAACCCGTGGACGCCCCAGAGCTCCCGACCCCTTCCCTCGAGCCAGTTTTTCGTCCCAGGCCGGCCCCGGGGCACGAGTGTGGGCCCCGGAGGCCAGAATCGAAGAAGAACGCCAGGATCGAAATGTCACGGCGTCGGAGATCTCGGAGGGGCGACGGGGGAGGCCGCGAGGGCGGCGGTGGAGGCGGTGGGGGGAGGAGGCGGTGGAGGAGATGGAGGCGGTGGCGGCGGCGGAGGTGGCGCAAGAGACAGATGGGGAAGAGAACGACGACGACGACGACGAAGACGAAGACGAAGACGAAGACGAAGAGGACGACGAAGAAGACGATGACGAAGACGACGACGACGACGACGACGACGACGACGACGACGACGACGGCGGCGACGACGGCGGCGACGACGACGACGACGACGACGACGACGACGACGACCCCTCCCTCTGCCCCTCAGCGCTCACCTCCGTGCCGCTGGGAGGTCCGACCTGCGGCTGACCCCGCCCTGCGTGCAGCGGGCCCCGCGCCCAGCCACGTGGAGGAGCTGCCCCCCTTCGGCGACGCGCCGGCTGCACGGCAGATGGTACGGAAGGGAAACGGGGGCCGACTGCGCCGACGTTCGCGCGTGAGTCGCACGCGCACGGTTGGCGTCGCAAAGACACCGTGCGATGTGGCGCCGCCGGGCCGCTCATTACACGCTGTTCCACACCCTTGGGACAGCATGCACCGAGGAAGCCCTGGCGGGGGGATAGCGTGCACCGACGAGGCCCTCGCAGGGGAATAGCGCTCGCAGAAGGGAGCCCTCGCCGGAGGATTGCCTCACAGGGACAGCGTGCTTTTCGGAGATTGCTGCTGCACGCAATCTTTGCGACGCCAACCTTAACCGTGGGATGTCTGAGACGTCATGTCGAGAGCCCTGAGGTCTGCGAGGCGTTTCGGACGTTTTCGTGCGCTCTTGGAGGTTCTCTCGCCTCGGGATGCGTTCTGGCAGCTGCGCCTTGCCGAGAGCGTTCTGGGGGTGCACGAATCGTCCCAAACAACCGCCAGAGACCCAAATTAAATCCAGCATACCGAGTGAGCCTTCGCCGTCCTTTCAGATCTGGGCGTTGCAATTCTTCCGGGCCCCGCCAATCTCATTGATCAATCTGGCCCGAGAAATGCTGCAGAAGGATGCGGTCTACACACATGGGTTTCATTGCTGATTTTCGCAATGCTGCAGCTCGTTCGCGTCGACGGATCTCGAGGAAGGTCGCGCCGTCAGCGTCCCTTCTTACCGCGTTGCGTGCGGCCCGCGTGGCCCTCCACGCAGTGGTCGCAAGAGGAGGACGAGTAGGGGACGAGGAGGGAGGAGGAGGAGGAGGACGAAAACGAGGACGAGGAGGAGGACGAGGAGGGAGGAGCAGGAGGAAGAGGAGGACCAGGAGGAGGACGAGGAGGAGGGAGACCGCTGCTAAGGAGGACTCATACCTCCTCCGTCTCCACCTAGAGCCTGCCCCTCCTCCTATTCCGCCTCCGCCTCCTCTTCCTCCTCCTTCGCCTCCTCCTCCTCCTCGTCATCACCATCATCACAATAATCATCCTCATCATCGTACTCATCCTTTTCGTCATCATCGCCATCAGAATCAGCATCATCATCATCGTCATCATCAGCAGCATCATCAGCAGCATCATCATCATTATCCATTTTGGCTCACGCGGCGGCATGAGCTGGGGCTCGCAGCTGCCATCCGTTTCACGACTCTGCTTCATCGTGCTAGCAGTCGATGGGCTGGCGCAGCCACTCGCGCGAGCCAGTGCCAGTGCCAGCAGCCATGGACGGACCCACGATGATGATGCACTTCAGAGAGATGCTGCGCTCCGGGATCAAGGAGCCGATGGCGAAAGATTTCGCGGACGTGAGGACGTCCATCGACAATTTGCGCAGGGACGTCGAGAGGCACGAGGGGCGCCTCAACAACATGGAGCAAGAGATCAAGGACTTACGAGAGGGACGTCCGGCGGCTCCCTCATCCACGGCGGCTTCCTCGGTTGGGCATCCGCTGCGCTTCTCGGGGGTCGAGAGCACGGCGGCACAGCCGTCCGTGTCGGGGCCGAAGAGGACGCGCGACAAGATTTGTGTGATTACTGGCGGTTGGGATCGGGACACATCCCGCGACACCATCCTGAACAAAGCTCGTGCGCTCACCGACGCCATCCCCAACAAAGCAGAGGATGGGGTGTTCGTCCCGCTCACGCGCGCCAGTTTCCTGAAGGTCCGTTTTACGATCTCGGGGCGTATGTGGGCCTGGGTACGTTAGATGAAAGGGAAGCAGATAACTATGCCGCAGCCACATCACCTGGGTCGTCGCTTTCGGTTCTCTGTGGAGAAGCCCACTCCCTCACTCAGCACGAGGACTCTATGGGGGAGCTCTCCGACCTGATCATGATGGCACCGCCTGGGGCGCACCCGATCGCGGGCGCGGACGCGCAGACGGCCTCGCACCCACCGCAGGCGGACGAGGAGCGCTGGATCGGGGACTTCCAAGTCGGCCAGCGCACACGTCGCGCCGAAATTGTGACGAGACTTTTCACGCAGCACGACCTGGCGGCGACGAACACGTTCACCGCGGCGGCCAGCGGACCCACCTGCCGCTACGATTTCAAGCACCCGCCAGCCCAGATCGACTATGTCCTGATACTTGCTCGCGACATTTGGAAGGTCAGCACCACGCTCGAGGAGATCACCGACAGCGCGCAATCCGAACACCCGGCCATCAAGCTGGAGTTCACTCTCGGCACCAGGAGGCGCCACATTTGGAACGGAGGTCGCGCACCTATGAAGGGCCGGACCTGCCTCGACAACAGCTTCCAGCGCTGGGGCCACAGCGCCTGCTACGCCGACCGCAACCCAGCGCCGATCACTTCCACGACGGACGCGGCGCACCTGGCTGCCGCCGCTTGCGACAGGGGCCCGCCTGCGCGGAAGGTCCCCAAGCTCCCCGAGGGCCACGAGCTCATGCAGACGCTGCGGGCGTTAGAGGCGCGTCGGCGGGTCACCCGCGGCCGCATGCAGCGCGCGATCTACAGCAAGGATATCATCCGGATTCGCGGGAAGATCTGGACCGCGAACAGGGCCCTGCAGCGCTGCCTACACGAGTCGGGCAATCCCCGAGCACGAGCGCCTCGCCGAGCTCAGCCCGGCCCGATCCACAACCAGCCGATGAACACGGATGGGGGGGATCGAGGACGACCCGCTGAGGATCAAGGTGCTCCCGGGGCGCGAGTGCGGCAACACCTTCAGGGCCAGCGACGGGGAGGAGCCCGTCGGGGTCTCTGCCTACCTCGCCCACTTCACGCCGGAGGATGCACTCGATATCCCGCCCTTCTCGCCCGAGATGCCCCGCGAGGCTCTGTGCGACATGAAGGCCGTGAAGGCTCCTGGTGTGGACGGGGTGGTCGCCGAGGTCCTGCAGGCCCTCGGCTCGGGCTTCCTCGCCTCTCTCGCGGCCGTCTTCGAGAACCGCTTCCGCGGGGCACCTGGGCATGCCGGGGGCCATGCCTGGTCGAAGCACATCATCCAGCTCATGAGGAAGAAGGGAGACAAGCACACGCTCAAGGGGTACAGGCTGATCGCGCCCCTGACTACCTTCGAGAAGCTATACTCGGTTGGCCTGATCAAGGAATACGCCAACAGGTTGACCCTGCGGAGCCCACAGTACGCCCATCGGAAGTTCCACCAAGCGATGGACGTGATCTTCAGCATGCGCATGCCGGCGGAGAAGGCCCGCGAGTGGAACCGCCCCATCTGCATCATGGACGGCGATGTCGACGCGGCCTTCGACCGCGTCTCGCACAGCTCGGTCGAGGAGGCCCGTGATCCTAGCCATCATGAGGGAGTGGAAGGCCTCGGCGGCGATCAAGATGGGCTCCATCCAGGCGCAACCAGCCTCGGACTCGCGGTATTCGACGGGGAGACCCAGCCAGCACGATCCTCTTCAATCTAGTGCTGGAGGATGCCTGGGAGGAGTTCCCCGGCGAACGCTGGACACACGGCGGGGGCTACGAGTTCCCAGGCGAGGCGACGCTGTACGAGGCGGGACTTCTGTACGCCGACAACTTCTGGCCGTTGGCGGGCACGGCCGAGTCGCTGCGCCAGATGACGATGGCCCGGCGGCGCATCCTGCGAGCACGCGGCTGGCACGCACCTCCCCCGGGTCTGACTTGGGGCACGACGGCGCTGGACCACGAGTTCGGCGACTACCAGATGAGGGTCGAGGACGGCGCCCTGACGCGCACGCCTCGCACCGAGGGTTTTCCTTGTCTCGGCTTTGTTTTCACTTGCGATGGAAGGTCTTGGAAGGACACACAGCACAGGGTAGATCGCGCCTGGAGAGCCTTTTTTACGCTCTCACGATGTCTCTACCTGGACGCGCCTGCCGCTGGCAGCAGGCCGCGAAGCTGCTCGAGCGAGCCATCAAACCTGTCTTGCTCTATGGGTCGGGATCGTGGTGCCCCACGGTCAAGGATCTGAATCTAAATCGAGTCACGCACCGCAAAATGTTCTCTCAACTGGTTTGCACGCAGAGATGGAAGGAGGAGACGCCAAAGGACTTCTGTCGCCGCCGATGGCGCCGCGTCTCTGCCGCTCTCCAGTCCCACACGACATGGGACATAGACGTGAAACTTCGCAGGCGTACTTAGGCTGGACACCTAGCCCGCCAGGCCGCCCTGCCAGACGCCACACCTGCCCAGCTTGTGCCTGTCCATCTGCTACAGTGGCGCAGTATGGCCTGGCTCCTGAGAATGAAACGCGAGCACGGATCCCAGACGCATGGCCGCAGATTCAAGGCCTGGCGATGGGAGATGGACCTCGCCCAACTGCTCGGTTCCGATTGGCTCGCGGATGCTGGCCAGTGCAGCAAGGTAGAATGGCTCGCTCGCGTTCGCCCGATCGCACGCCAGCTGCACTGACCCCAATCTTCCCGTGCCGCACGCGAGGCGCTTTTGCAAAACGTTTCTCTCAGCGGTTTGACGTGCCGCCTCAGGCGCAAGGGAGACCATGAGGGCACGGTGCAAAGTGCAAAGCGCACCATCAGCATCATCATCATCATCATCATCAACAACACTATCATCATCCGTCTCCTCCTCCGCCGTCTCCTCCGTCTTCTCCGTCCTCCTCCTCCGCCTCCTCCTCGTCCTCATTCTCCTCCATATCCTCCTCCTCATTATCCTCCTGTTCCTTTTCTTCTTTCATCTCCTCCCCCTCCTCCTCCTCCTCTTCCATCTCCTCCTCCTCCTCCTCCTCCTCCTCCTCCTCCCCCTCCTCCTCCTCCTCCTCCTCCTCCTCCTCCTCCTCCTCCTCTCCTCCTCCTCCTCCTCCTCCTCCTCCTCCTCCTCCTCCTCCTCCTCCTCCTCCTCCTCCTCCTCCTCCTCCTCCTCCTCCTCCTCCTCTCCTCCTCCTCCTCCTCCTCCTCCTCCTCCTCCTCCTCCTCCTCCTCCTCCTCCTCTCCCATCTCCTCCATTGCCGGGTCTTCCTCCCCTTCCCCCTCTCTGTCGCACCCGAGGAGACATTGGACGGGGAATTGCGCTGGAGCGACAATACCACCTGGGCGCGGGCCGGCGGCGCTGGTCGCTCCCGGGCGGACGACTCGCAGGCGGCAGCGCCGAGCAAGCGTCGGGGGGAGCAGGGGAGGATGGGAGGCGCTGCTGCCCAGTCCAGCTGCACGAGGCCCTGGCCCAATCACCTGCCGATCTCCGTCCACATCTGAGGATGCTGTGGTCGGCGATCGGGGGGGGACGTGCCAGTTCCGGCCAGATCTGGGGCTTTGGTGTTTTTGGCTCTCTCTCTCTCTCTCTTTCTCTTTCGTCTTCCGCAGCCGCCTTCTTCTGTCTCCCGCCAGCTCGGGCACGCACGCTTCGCCCAGCAGCGCCACCGCTTGGGCTACGGGCGCGGTGCGCGATCGCCACCGCTGCGACGAAAAGACAAAGAATTGGCAGGCTTCCGTGCCTCTGACCGCCGCCGACGTCGAACGTTCACTCTCGCGCGGAAGTGTTCGGGCGGAGGGCCTCCATCTTTTGTGGCGACGCAGAGGGCCTAGGCCCTGCGCAGTTGGGAGCGGCCACGCCCAAGCCGCCCTTCGCCAGCTCTGACGGCCTGTTTTCTCACAGGGGGCCTACTCACCCTGGCGCCGAGCTGCGCAAAGGGGCAGGCGAGGGGCGAGGAGGTGAGAAAGACAAGGATGGTGAGGACCTGTTGTCGCGGTTATGTCCCTTCTGTCGCTGGTGCGTCTGCGGAGCTGCCCAGACACCCGCCTATAACGTGCGCGTGGGACTACATTGGTTGAGCCGCGATTACGGGTCAAAAACCGAACAACCAACCAGAACAGCAAACAAAAGAAGACAACAACAAACATTGTTTGAGCAAGTCGAGAAGGAGAGCAGCTAAAGACAGTTTGTCGATGGAGGCTGTGCCTTCAGCGCCCAGGACCCCTGGACTGGCGCGGAGGACGCCAAACGAGGGGGCCGACTGAGGAGCCCGAAGGCTGTGCGGAGCCGAGGGCGCAGGGAGACCAAGCCGTTCCACAGAGAACGGCGGGGCGCCCGGTGCAAGCCCGGGAGTTGTTGCTTCCTTCGGGAGGCGGTGGGGAAGCTGGTGCAAGCCCAGCAGAGTTGTAGCTCCCTGCGCGGAATGCAGTACATCTGGTGGAAGCCTGGAATTTTCGCCCTCCTGGGTGTGCCCGCGATTTTCGTCGTGCGTTGGCAGCTAGCACCCTTGCCGATGCGACGCCCAGATGTTTCAGACCGTGTCTGTGTGTGGTGTCGGTCCCCCGCGCATTGCGGCTTCATTCGCGTTTCGTGCGTCCCACCTATGGCCCATCGCCAGCGCAGTGACTCTGCCTGGCCGCCGACGGAAAAGGTGTGCGGTGTCGTATGGGGGGCCCCCGCTCGAAGGGGAGCCCCCCTCGGGGCTCGACAACGCGCTCCCGTTCCCATCGCGCCTTCACCGACCTGCCCTTCCCCATTCCTCACCCCTCGAGGTCGGAGCGCGCGTTGCTCTGCCATCGGCTCATGGATCCCGACCTCTTCGGCGGCACTGGTCGAGCCGAGCTGGCCCAGTGCCAACGCGTTCCCCTCAATGTCTGCGCTCAGCGAACAGCCGGTCGCACGCGGCCAGGCAGATCGGCGCCAAAATCGCCCTGCGGACCAAGCCCTTGCATTGCCAGTGCGGGGTGCCACCAATTTCGCCCTCAGCGAGGCCAGTCGCCACTGGGGTGGAATGCGAGAGTCGACATGGACCGCGGAGTCACGTCTTGGGGCCGTCTTGGAGGCCACTTGGGCCGTCATGGGGCCCTCTTGGGGGCCTCTTGGGCGATCTTGGGGGCCTTTTGGGCACGTCTTGAGCCATCGGAATGCCGAGAAGAAGCAAATCCCCAAATCCTTCAAAAACCTAATGAAAATCAATGATTTTGGCATCTTCGGGCCCTCCTGGAGGACCTCTTGGAGGCCTCTTGGGCCGTCTTGGAGGCCTCTGGGGGGCCTCTTGGGCCGTCTTGGACTCTCTTGGGCCGTCTTGGAGACCGTCTCAGACCATCTTGGGCGGACTTAGAGGCCATCTGAGACCATCTTGGAGGCCATCTTGGGCCAACGTGGCCATCTTGGACGCCATCTTGAGCCGTCTTGGAGGATTTGTTCGGGACGTTGGGGTCCTGGCCAATCCTCCCGGGACCCCGGCGGGACGGGCCGAAGCGCCAGGGGGAGTTATTTTGGAAAAAGAACCAAAACCAAAACCGAAAGCATCCAGCACGCCAGGCACCCATGCGATGAATCGACAGGGGGCGGCGGATCGAAGATGCATACGGCGAATCACCGCCGCCCCCTGCCTTTTTGGAAGCGCCTATGTGGCCGAACGTTGAGGCCAGACCTGCCAAGCCATCGGACCATGTGTTCCCCGAATCGGTTTGGAAAGCCTTCGGGGAACACGTGGGCATCTTGAAGGTCATCTTGGCCGTCTTGCAGGCCCCTGGGGCGATCTTTCCGCCATCTTTGGGGGCTCTTGGGCCGTCTCGGGCCGTCGGAAGGCCGAAAAGAAGGAAGTGTCAAAATCCGTCAAAAACCTTAGGAAAATCCATGGTTTTGGCCTCTTCTGGCCTTCCTGGAGGCCCTCTTGGGGGCCTCTTGGGCCAGCTTCGAGCCAACTTCGGCCATCTTGGTGGGTTCCTGGCACGTCTGACGCCGTCGGGAGCTGCCTTGGGTGCCTTTTCTGGGCCAACGGGGGACCCTCTTGGGGCGCTTCGGGGCCGTCTTGGAGGCCATCTTGGGCGTCTTGGAGGCCATCTTAGGCGTGTTGGAGGCCTCTTGGGCAGTCTTGGAGCCCTCTTGGGGCCATCTTGGAGGCCACTTTGGCCGTCTTGGGGCCTTCTTGCGGGCCTCTTGGGCGATCTTGGGGGCCTCTTGGGCCGTCTTGAGCCGTCGGAATGCCGAGAAGGAGCAAATTCCAAAGTCCTTCAAAAACCTAAGGAAAATCAATGATTTTGGCCTCTTCGGGCCCTCCTGGAGGACCTCTTGGAGGCCTCTTGGGCCGTCTGGGAGGCCTCTGGGGGGCCTCTTGGGCCGTCTTGGACTCTCTTGGGCTGTCTTGGAGGCCATCTTGGGCCATCTTCGCGATTTGTTGAGGACGTCCCGAGCGAAACGGCCGTTTGTTGGCAGGATGTGTTGTGGAGTTTGCGGTCCTGGAAGAGCCTCCCGGGGCCCCGGCGGGACGGGCCGAAGCGCCAGGGGGAGTTCTTTGGGAAGAAGAACCAAAACCAAAACCGAAAGCATCCAGCACGCCAGGCACCCCTGCGATGAATCGACAGGGGGCGGCGGATCGAAGACGCTTACGGCGAACCACCGCCGCCCCTTGCCTTTTTGGAAGCGCCTATGTGGCCGAACGTTGAGGCCAGACCTGCCAAGCCATCGGACCATGTGTTCCCCGAATCGGTTTGGAAAGCCTTCGGGGAACACGTGGGCATCTTGAAGGCCATCTTGGCCATCTTGGAGGCCTCTTGGGCGATCTTTCCGCCATCTTTGGGGGCTCTTGGGCCGTCTCGGGCCGTCGGAAGGCCGAAAAGAAGGAAGTGTCAAAATCCGTCAAAAACCTTAGGATAATCCATGGTTTTGGCCTCTTCTGGCCTTCCTGGAGGCCCTCTTGGGGGCCCTCTTGGGGGCCTCTTGGGCCAGCTTCGAGCCAACTTCGGCCATCTTGGTGGGTTCCTGACACGTCTGACGCCGTCGGGAGCCGTCTTGGAGGCCTTTCTGGGCCAACGGGGGACCATCTTGGGGCGCTTCGGGGCCGTCTTGGAGGCCATCTTGGGCGTCTTGGAGGCCATCTTGGGCGTGTTCGAGGCCTCTTGGGCCGTCTTGGAGCCCTCTTGGAGGCCACTTGGGCCGTCATGGGGCCCTCTTGGGGGCCTCTTGGACGACCTTGGGGGCCTCTTGGGCCGTCTTGAGCCGTCGGAATGCCGAGAAGGAGCAAATTCCAAAATCCTTCAAAAATCTAAGGAAAATAAATGATTTTGGCCTCTTCGGGCCCTCCTGGAGGACCTCTTGGAGGCCTCTTGGGCCGTCTTGGAGGCCTCGGGGGGGCCTCTTGGGCTGTCTTGGGCCGTTTGGGACTCTCTTGGGCCGTCTCGGAGGCCGTCTTGGACCATCTTGGGTGGACTTTTCAGGGAGGATGTGTTCCGGAGTTTGCGCACGTGGGCAGGCCTCCCGGGACCCCGGCGGGACGGGCCGAAACCCATTGGAAGAGTTCTTTTTGGGAAAGAACAAAAAAAAAAAAAAAAAAAAAAAAAAAAAAAAAAAAAAAAAAAAAAAAAAAAAAAAAAAACGTAAAAGTCCAGCACGCCCGGCACCCCTGCGATGAATCGGCAGGGGGCGGCGGATCCTAGTGGCCTTCGGTCCATCCCGCCACCGTGCCTGGGTTGTGGGTCTGAGGCCTCTTGTATATGTGTTGGGGTGTCGTGGGTAGCCTCTCGGGGGCCTCTTGGAAGCGGTTTGGGCGCATCTTGGGGGCCGTTTCGTGGGGTATCTTTTGGGTTTCTTGGAGGCTTCTTGGGCGCGTCTTGGGGCCTCTTATAAGAGATCGTGGCCTCGGTGGCGCGAACGTGACATAATTTACAAGGGATCGCGGCCGCGGGGGCGCGAGCGTGGCGTGATTTACAAGGGTTCGTGGCCCCAGAAACGCGAACGTGGTGTAATTTACAAGGAATCGTGGTCTCGGAGGCGCGAACGCGGGGTAATTTACGAAAGATTGTGGCTTCGGGAGCGCGAATGTTGCGTAAGTTACGGGGGATCGTGGCCTCAGGAGCGTGAATATGGTGCATTTGACTCAGGATCGTGGCTTCGGGGACGCGAGCACAGCGTAATTTACAAGGGATCGTGGCCTCGGAGGCACGAATCTCATGTATTTTTACGTGTCCTAAGGCCCCCAGAAATTCTGAGAACCTTCCCCGGGGACGCTAACCAGAGTGGTTTCTGGCTCCCCCCTTCGCGCGGACAGTAACAATTTACAGTAGGAAGCAGAAAGCAACATTGTAACATTAGAAACTGGAAACTGGAACTGGCGGAGGGAGCAGCAAACCTAGGCCTCGCAGCCTGATGACCCCGCAGGGGGGCCTGCGGATCTTCCAGCGTCGTTTGGATCTCCAGGTGCATCTACCAAGGGGGGGGGGCGAGGACCAGCCCTGAGATCTTGACGATTCTATATTTTTTCGAGCCAGGCGTGTTTGTCCGGTTTCGGGCCACGGGACCCCCACAGATCGATCCAGCTCGAACGGCGCATGAAGCTTGGGTCTAGGGATACGGTCGTGTTTTGTCTGCGACCTTTCATTTTTTCGCTTCGTCGGATCTCAGGGAAAAGGGGTGGATGATGTCATGGACGGGGCCAGGATATTTTCGAGATTTCATGGCCCCTTCCATGTCTCGGAGGCTGCCGGAGGGGTGCGTTGGACAGGGTTGGTTTCGCAAGATCCGAGGCCCCCCCAGCCTGACCTGAGGCACCCTGGCGCGACTCTGAGGCGCCCCAGCAGCAGTCGAAGCAACCCTTCTTGAACCACGCCCTCTCGCCGTTCCCGACTCTTTTTCACCACATTCCGGAGGGGGGAAAAAAAACAGATGGATTCAAAGACTCGTCGATCCCCAGGAAAAGCGGAAGATACGGGAAGGAGAAGGGAAGACGCACATCTAGAAAATATGGAAAATGTTGGGAATGTTTGGATTGTGCGTCTGTTGCTTTGTGTGCCTCTCTGGGCCCCTTTTGAGCATCCCCTGGCCCCCGCCCGTCCGCACGCACGCGTCGGGCCATGCTCTGCGAGCCCACCCTCCCCTGAGCGCCGCCTCCCTCCTCCTCCTCCTCCTCCTCCTCCTCCTCCTCCTCCTCCTCCTCCTCCTCCTCCTCCTCCTCCTCCTCCCCCTCCTCCTCGCGGAGGCAGTGCTTCGCCCCTTGGCCCGATAATACCAAAGAGCTCTCAAGTTGTGATTGCGCTACTTTGCCGCCCTGCTTCAGGACGTGTCTTGCGATTTCTGGATTCGAGCCTCAGCGGCTACGGTTCGCATCACAGTCATGCAAAGCATGTGCAGTCACGAGCTGCAGTGGCAAGATGCTCGGCTCAAGTGTGATACGTACATAAAAATAAAAAATATATATATATATATAAAAAAAAAATATATATATATATATAAACAAAAAAACAAACACACAAAAAAAAAAAAAAACAACGCCCACCCTCGTGAGCTAAAATGAGTTCGAATGCCACATGCCACATTTTGCCAGAGCGCCGTTGAACCAGATTTGTTTGTGTGCTCCTGGGCCCTTCATTCTCGCCGTTCCCGATTTTCTTTCACCACAGCCCCTGGCCCTCGTTCGCCCGCGCGCAGGCCTTGGGACACGATCTGCGAGCCCCCTCCCCTGAGCGCCCCCCGGCTCTTGGACACCGCTGCGATTTGTCCCGATCCGCTGCCCCAGCGGTCCCGACCGCCTGCCGCGGGGCGGTTTCTCGCACCAGGCCCCAGCTTGCCAGATTGCCATCGAGTTCTTCTCATGGTGATGCGACGTGTTGCCACGATTTGCAGTGCACGTGTCTCGATGTGCTCGTTTGCTAGTGTCACACGCGTACGGGATAGCCCCCCTGACGGGCAGCGGATTTCACAGTGAGCGGAGAGAAGGCAAGTTGTTCGCCCCAGGCCCATCTCTTGTTGTCCTGGGGCTTGAGGCCGAAATCGAAGAAAGACGCCCGGATGGAACAAGAATCACGTCATCGGAGATCTGAGAGGCTTTGGCGCCCCTAGCCACGGAGGTGCCCCCTCTCGCGAGCTTCGGGTACCGCACGCTGGCCGACTTCGCAGACGCGGTGGGCAAGCTGCTGACGGCCACGGACCCGAGTGCGGCCCCGAGCCCAGAGCGGCCCCCGTAGAACGCTGGCAGGCGGCCCCCCTCCGCCTCCGACGGCACGGATTCGCCATGAAGCGAGCTTGAGGGCCAAGAGGTCTGGCGCTAACTTCTGGCTTTGTGTTGACGGTGCTCTACGAGGCGGGCATTCGACGTCCACGGGAGTTGCGTCGTTCGGATACTGGCAAGGGAAGAGACAACTTCCCACTGTGACAGGCAAGCCGCTTATAGGAGCAGCATCATCATTCTCTGCCGAGCTCGCGGCAATGGAGTGGGGGCTTCAGGCTGTCAGTGATTTGTAAGTCGTCGATACGGCACTGGTGGCGGGTAACGTGTGCGTGTGGATCTCGGGCTCGCAGGTAGCAGAAAAAAGAAGGCGGATTCGAGTGGAAACGGGCCTTGAAGGCCACTTTCGGGCTCCCGGGGCCCTCCAAGAGCCCCAGGACCGTCAGAAGACGACTCAGGATGACTGGTGGGTTTGGGGGAAGGTCCTTGGGGTCCAGGACCCACTTCCCTCAGGACCCGCGTGCTTCACGCCGACGGATCGCTTGTGCCCGCCATCACCGGCATACCTCTTCTCGGTTCCGACCGGGTGCTCGGCATCTCGCTGCGCCTCCCCCCGACCTTGACGTCCTCGCGCCCGGGGAAAAACACGACCAGCGGTCCTTGGCAGCTTTCGTCCTCTTGGGGCCCTCATCGGCCCCGGGAGCCATTTAGAAAATAACCCAGGATGGAAAATTGGGCCCGAGAAAGGAGCCCAGACCGTGAAGAGGTCACGGCGTCGGATGTCTGGAGATGTGCGGGTATGTCACGCCGTCGGTCCGGCTCGATCCCGTTGTGCGTTTGGCTTGGTCAGGCCTCCGGTGCCGCTTCGTCGTGGACACCCTTGGGGCCAGAGGGGGGTAAGTTTCCCTCCCCCCTTTCTCCTCCAGCGAGTCCCTGCGGCGCGCCGGGGGGGGGGGCTGGAGCGAGATGGGGGGCGGCCTCCTGAGAAGGCTGGGGCTCTCTTGGAAGAGGGCAGCCTCATTCAGAAGTAGACGCTCGTTCTGCGAGGCGGGGCCTTCGTGAAGGCCCCCGCCTCCTCGACTCCAAGATCCCAAGATGCGGGGAAACCCACAGATCCCCTGATGGGCGCCACAGGGCGCCGCGATTTCGCGTGTTTCCAAACTCGCACCAGAGCGTGCGCGAAAACAAAATCAACCAGTTCCAGTGCCTGTGCCAGGGGCGCGGGCCCACGGTCGGGAACTCCTGCTCCGCGCGTCGCGCCGCTGGCTCTGGCCCACCCGCGCTCCTGCGAGGCCTTTTAACCGTCGCAGCGTGGCAGGGGCGGTCCGCTTGCGCGCTCGAGTGGCCCTGGACGCGCGGCGTGCTAATTTCGTGGCAGCAGGAGGGAGAGGCAGGAAGGGAGGGCGGCCGCAGAAAGCGGGCGGGGCCGCAGGGCAGTCACCACCAGAAGAGTTTCCCGGTGAGAGCGCGCCGGTGCGGCCAGCCCGTGCTGCGGCGACCTGGCAGCGAACGCGCCCGCGAGACGCGCCAAGCACGCCCCAGTCCCCGAGCGTCAACGTCCCGAGCTTGTCCGAGCGGGGCCCCGCCGGGCACCTCGCCGACGCCACCCGGCAACCGCGGCCGCTCGAGCGGCCGCGGCGCCGCAAGCGCCCCTGCTCACCAAGCGCGTTCCACTACTCGCAAAGTGCCTACTCGCAAACGTCCGAAAAACGCGTGTCTGTTTCGATGTACTTTATCGTAGATCCCCCGCGGCGGATCCAGGCCATTTGCGAGTAGTGGAACGCGCTCGTCTACCTGCGGAGCAGCAGGACGCGGCATCGGCTCGCAGGGCATGGCTTGCCGCCGGGGCCGCCGCCGGCGTCGCCCAGCCACCCTCTCTCACGACGACGAGGACGAGGACGACGACGAGGAGGAGGACGAGGAGGAGGAGGAGGAGGACGACGACGACGACGAGGACGGCGAGGAGGAGGAGGAGGAGGAGGAGGACGACGACGACGACGACGACGACGAGGACGACGACGACGACGACGACGACGACGACGAGGACGAGGACAACGACGACGACGGGGAAGAGGACGACGACGACGACGATGAGGACAACGTCGACGACGACGAGGACGACGACGACGACGATAAGGACGACGACGAAGACGACGACGACGAGGAGGAGGACGAGGACGACGACAACAGCAACGACGACGACAACGACAAGGACGACGATGACGACGGTCACGACGACGACGAGGACGACGACGAGGACGACGACGACAAGGACGATGACGACGAGGACGACGAAGACGACGACGACGACGACGACGACGACGACAACAACGAGGACGACCACGACGACGACGACGACGACTACGACGATGAGTACGACGAGGACGACGACGACGACGACGACGACGACGACGACGTGTACGACGACCACGACGAGGACGACGACGACGACGAAAATGACGACGAGGACAACGACGACGAGGACGACGACGACGACGACGACGACGACGACGACGAGGACGACGACGGCGACGAGGAAGACGACGATGACGACGACGACGACGACGACGACGACGAGGACGAGGACGACGACGACGACGAGCACAACGACGACGAGGACGACGACAACGACGACGACGACGACGATGACGACGACGACGAGGACGACGAGGGCGACGACGACAAGGACGACGACGATTACGACGACGACGACGACGACGACGACGACGACGACGACGACGAGGACGAGCACGACGACGAGGACGACGACGACGAGGACGACGGTCACGACGACGACGACGACGACGACGACGACGACGACGACGCGGCGACGAGTACGATGAAGACGACGACGAGACGACGACGACGACGACGACGACGGGACGACGGCGACGACGAGGACGAGGACGACGACGACGGCGACGACGACGACGACGACGACGAGGACGACGACGACGACGACGACGACGACGACGACGACGACGACGACGACGCGACGACGACGACGACGACGACGACGACGACGACGACGACGACGACGAGGACGAGGAGGAGGATGACGACGACGACGACGACGACGACGACGACGACGAGGACGACGAGGACGACGACGATCGACGACGACGACGACGACGACGACGACGACGACGACGACGACGACGACGACGACGACGACGACAAGGACGACGAGGACGACGACGACGACGACGAGGAGGACGAGGACGAGGACGAGGACGACGAGTACGACGACGACGACGACGACGACGACGAGGACGAGCACGACGACGAGGACGACCACGACGACGACCCCCACGACGACGACGACGACGAGGACGACGACCACGAGGACGACGACGACGACGACAAGGACGACGAAGACGGTTACGACGACAAGGACGACCACGACCACGATGACGACGACGACGACGACGACGACGACGACGACGACGACGACGACGACGACGACGACGACGACGACGACAAGGTTGACGACGACGAGGACGTCGACGACGACAACGACGACGACGAGATCGACGACGACGACGACGAGGACGACGACAACGACGATCACGACGACGACGACGACGACGAGGACGACGACGACGACGACGACGACGACGCGATGCGACGAGAACGACGACGACGACGACGACGACGACGATGACGACGATCACGAGGTCCTCCAGGCTCTCGGCGGCGGCTCGGCACCGCCGCGGTCAGCTGCTCCCTGCCGCGGTACAGTGCCAGCGAATCTGTACGTCTCCGACTCCCTCCCTTGGGGGGGAGCTCTTCGTCCCGCAACCATTTTTGAGGGTCCTGGGGCCAGACGCAGCCGGACCAAGGTATAAGATCGAGGTCGGTTCGGGGATGGTACCCTGATGTTCTTCGTGCTTGTTGGATTTTCTGGTGCATCCCGGGGGAGGGTGCCCTCGAATGCTCTTCAATATGGCCGGTGGAGGGTCTCATGTTCTTGAAGGATGTCATTCTGGCCTAGGTCTGACTGTAAGCCAGACCCTGGACTTCGTGAGTGCCTTCAGATCGTCGGCCCCCAGAGGTCTCGACCCATTCGGCCAGACTGGTTCCTCATCCCGAGTCCTTGTTTGGCGGCCCCGAGGCCAGGCAAGGGCCCTCAGAGGCCGAAGACAGCGAAAGATTGTCCGTCGCAGTTTGTGTCATGAGGCGAGGGGTCTGGGAACGGAGCCCCCGAGGGCCGAAACCGAGAGGAGCGACGCTTGGCTTGAGAAGGCCATAGGGGTCTCCGGAACTTTGCCTCCGCCTGTCGCTCCACGGGCTCTGGCCCACCATGCCTCGGCGCGGCACGCGCCCCGCGTCCCCGGCCCCCGGCCCTCGACGCCCCGAGCCTCCCCCGGCCTCCCCGCCCGCGGAGCGGAGCGACACGCCACCCGCCCGCAGGCCGTGCAGTGCCGCCAGGGCCGCCGCCGCGGCACGCCGGGCAAGAAGTTCCCGGCGCCCGATCGTTTTTGGGGAGCTGCGGGTCGGCGCCGCCGAGAGCCCGGCGCCCCGCTGTGGCCCCCACGCGGGGGCCCACACGCCCTGAGGCCGCCAGGTTGCCGACGCCGGCGCTTCTCCGGGGGGCCCCCAGAGGCCTGGATCCTCCTCCTCCTCCTCCTCCTCCCTCCTCCTCCTCCTCCTCCTCCTCCTCCTCCTCCTCCTCCTCCTCCTCCTCCTCCTCCTCCTCCTCCTCCTCCTCCTCCTCCTCCTCCCCCAGAGGCCTGGAGAGCCCTGGCGGAAAGGCTGCCAGCCTTGCTTGCGGTCGCCGAGGCCTGCGCCGGTCACGTGTGCAGGCGCCCTGCCGTCCCAAGATCTCACTCACATGGGTTCTGGGGCCCACCGAGGTATAGAAAAAAACGAGGGCGGAGAGTTCGAGGCTCCCCAGATGGGGTGCGAGCAGATGGGGTCGAAGGATCGCTCCGCATGGCCGATGCATCGACGATGCGGCTCGACTGAATTTCTCCACGCCGACGGCGACGATGCATCGCCGACGCATCGGCGATGCATTGGCGATGCGGCGCAATCCTCCGACCCCCTCCACTCAGTAGGAGGCCTCCTCACAACGCCCCACAGACCAAAAAGACCTCGTCGCTCGAAGTTCCACCCTCGACGCCGTGCCCCCGGCGGACTCGCGAAGGGCGATGCAAGGGTCGTGGGCCGGCGCCTCCGCCGCGGACCTGGCCGCAGGGCCGCGCCCCCGCTGCCGACGGCGCGCGGCGAGAGTCCCAGGCCCCCGCCGAGTCGTGAGAGCATCACGACGGCCAGCGTGTCCCCCCGACAGCGTCTCGATGGAGGGTCTTGACGGGCGTGAAGAGTGGCCACGCTGCAGTCCCGCAGGGGGGACGGGGAGCCCGAGGACGTTTTTGGTCCGGCAGCCGCTGCGTCGGCCGTTGCGCTGGAGACGTCCTCAAGAGTCATTCGGGAAGCGTGCTCTCGCCCCAAGGCTGGCGACATGTTTGGTCCGGACGGCCGCGGTCTTCTATAAACAACGTTTTAAATGGCACATAGCAGTGCTCTCGCCCTTGTCCTGGCTGCATCTTTCCTCGATAGCGTTTCCCGCTAGAGGTCTCTCACATTAAAAACCAAGAGTCCCACAGTGAGGACGCGGAGCCCGAGACCGCCCGTTACAATAGCCATGGCGCCTGAGACTTCCGGGCAAAACATGCAGGAATTGCGTTCTCACCACAGTGCTGGTCACATTCCTTTAACAGCGTGTCGCTAGAGGGTTCTAATGGTGGGAAGCGGAAAAGTAAGGAAACCAAAAGAGTCCCACATAGGGGGACGGGAAGACTGAGACCGCCCGGTCCGTCAGCCATTTTAGCTTGAGACGTCTTCATACTTGATTCAGGGATCGTGGTCTCGCCTCAGTGCCGGCGACATTCCCTTAGTAGCGTTTCGCTGGAGGTACTAATGGTGGTAGAACAGGACCACCTACGAGTCTCATGGGGCGGAGGAGTTCGAAACCGCTTGGTGCTGCTACCATGTCGCTTGAGATTTACAGCATTCGTTATTGGTTCGGGAATCGTGCTCTCGCCTCAGTGTCGGCGACATTCCCTTACCAGCGTTAATGCTAGGGCGCTCTCATGGTGGTAGAACAGAACCACATACGAGTCCCACGGGGCGGGCGGGAAGTTCGAGACCGCCGGGAGCGGCAGCCGTTTCGCCTGAGATTTCTTCACCAATGATTCAGGAATCGCGCTCTCGCCTCAGTGCCGGCGACATTCCCTTACTAGCGTTTCCCCAGGAAGCGGCGGCGAGCCCATGGGGGAGGTGAGAAGGAGAAGGCCTTCTCACAGTGGTCGGAAGTCCCCCGGCCTTTTGAGAAGTTGTCTCGGCCTTCCCGGAGAAACAGAACATCTCTCAGGAAGCGCGGGGGCTTCTGAGAAGTCCCTCCGCCCTCTGAGAAGGCCTTCTCCTTCCCACTTCCCCCCCCCCTCGCTCGCCGCCGATCAGTGCCAGCTGCCACGGGGGAGACGGGGAGCACGGGAGGGGGGGGGGAGCTCCTCCCCGCCACCCACCCACCGCGCGCGATTCCGAGGCCGAGGCGGGGCCCCTCAGCAGCGCAGCGGGGAGGCGCTGGCCTGGCCGGCTGGTGCCGCTGCGCGCCCAGGCCGAGGGCGTCGGAGGAGCCCCTGCTCGGCGCCACCTCGGCCACGCGCAGAGAGGGGGGTCGTGGGGGTGGAGGGGGGGGAAGGCGTCTCGGAAGCACCCCGTTGCGTCCTAGACGGCGCAGGGGCCCGCCTACAGGTGCAGGGCCTTCGCCCTCCGAGCAGCAGCCTGCTTCCAGGGAGCCCCCCCCCCCCCCGCCCCCCCTCGTGCGCGCCGCCAGCCCTCGAAGCAGCTGCGGAGAGGGAGAGAGTCGGCGGCGCGCGCCGACCCCGGAAGCCGGGCGCTGCACGGCTGTGCGCCCAGGGGGCGTGGCCGCGCGGGGCTTCTGGCTCCTTCCCCTCCTCCCGCGGCCGCTCCTCCCCGTGGCAGGAGTGGAGAAGCTCGGATTCAAGCCAAGCATGGAAGTAGCAACCATGCAACAGGCATCGTAGAAATCTTGTCCCGCACGCAAGGGCACGCGATTCTCGGGGCGTTTTGGGGGGAGGGCCTGCCTCTGCAGGGGTCCTGGCGGATTCATATGGTCAGGTGAGCTTTGCCGCCGATTTCGGCGGCCCGCCCAGGTGTCCGGGTACCTTACAGCCCTATAGTCATATAGCTTTATAGCCTTATAGTCCTATTGATCTATAGCCCTATACCCCTACAGCCCTATAGCCCTATAGCCGAATCGCCCTATAGACCTATAACCCTATGGCCCTACAGCCCTATAGCCCCATAGCCCCAGAGCCACATAGCCCCATAGCCCTATAGCCCTACAGTCATATAGCCCGATAGCCCTATGGGCTTATAGCCCTATCGCCCTATAGACCTATAGCCCCTTGGCCCTATAGTCCCATAGCCTTATAGCGCTGAAAATATCATGATTGGGGCTTTACTCTGGCATCATACTCCCATTGAGTACTTACGAAGGGAGAGGGAGTCGGAGCTGGAGGAGGAAGCGGAGGAGGGAGAGGAGGATGAGAGGTCTCGGCCTGCTTGCTTTTCCCCTCCACGTCCCCCCTCGTCCTCTTCCCTGCACCCTCTTCAGTGGGCCTTGAGTTGGTCGTTCAAGAGGCAGTAGCAGGAGGAAGAGGCGGAGACGGAGGAGGAGGTCCCGGGAGGTGGGGGAGTTGGAGGATAAGGGGGAGGCGCAAGAGGGCAAAGGAGGAAGGTTGCCGAGGGCCTCCCGTTAGCCACGCATGACGGCATTCTTGCAGCAGCCCCCTGGCTGAGCACGCAGGAGCCCTCAAGCCGTTCGACCTCGACTCCGTCGAGCAGAAGGTCGATGGACCAGAGGGCCTCGAATTTTGAACAGCCCAGTGCATTACCATCCTTTTCCTCCCTCCCTCACTCTGCCTCCTTTTCCCCATACCTTCTCCTCGACACGTGATCGGTCCAGTGCGTTGTTATCATCCCTCCTTCTTCTCCTTCTCGCACATCCCTCCTTCTTAGTTGGTACGGGAGCTCCTGTTCCTTTTCCATTTCTTCGCCATGGCCCGCGTGGCATTCTCTTTTTGTTCAGCCTCGACGGCATCGACTTCCCCTGCCCACCGCCTTCGACCTCAACAGGTTAACCGCTTCAGCCTCCCAGCAGCTCACGCAGTCTCCCACCAATGCTCGACCCGTATTTCGTGACGGAGGAGCCGCACACGCTGTATTTCAAGTCGGACAAGGACTGCGGTTTCAAGCTCTACAAGGACCGCGGCGACCAGCCGCCCCCGCCTGCTCTCCATCCCGGGTTCGCACAAAATGTTTGGGCGGCTCGAGGATCTTACGGCCATCGTTCCGCCGCAGGTGGAAATACCCACATAAGGATATCCAGCTGCGCATAGTGAACAATTGATCGATACAGCATTCACATCAGCGGCTACTGCCGAGGATCCCAAGCCACTCGCATCTACGTCACGAGAGCCTTGGAGCGCAGCACAAAGGTGAAAAGTCCGTGGATGGTCTGGCGATGACGTTGTCAGTATTCCAGAGGACAGCAAAACAGACCTGAAACTATCTGTCTTCAGTATCTTGGAATATGACCTATCTCCACACCCGCCCGCTCTCTTCAGTTTGACAGTACGCGATCCCGATGCGCACTCCTCTTGACGATCGTGTACGGGGGGGTGTTCAGTACAGTGGAGCATTCCTACAATTATGTTGTGGTGTGTTCCGAGTGCCGAGAACGCCGCATTGACACGACGGATGATCGCGCCCAATACGTCGACGAGGAGGAACACATCCAAGGCAGGTACCCACGTCGGCTAAGAAGCCCACGGTCAAAGCAACGCCATCGGCGGGTTCCGGGCCTCCAGCACCTCCTTGACATATGAAGGGAGGGACTTCCATTCTGGATGGAAGGCCATCGGAGTGGGCATGACTGCTGCGGCGAGCTGCCTATCCTGCATGGATGCAGGCGGCGGCGGCGGCAACATGCGACACCTCCGCACCTGGGGGCCCGAGCAGCAATCTCGAGTGCCTTTTCCAGCGATAGGCGCGAGAGGTATGATCTGGTCAGTGTCGGACTCAGACCTCAATGAGTTTCGCCAGGCAGCCTTCGCATCCTCAGGACTCGCCGGCATGGCACGTGAGTTCGTGGATGAATGGCCACCAGCTGTCCTCATCCAAGGCGGGCACATCAACGGCAACCCAGTGCCCTCGATGACTTTCCTAATGCACAGTTTGGCCGAACAATGGGGCCAACAGGGCGAGAAGCGCACCGCGGCGGTCTCAGCACTTAAAGACTTCAACAGACTGCGGCAGGGGCGCATCGTCAAGTTTCGCACACGCTTCGACATCCTCCACAACCGCACACGACAAGCCGGTCAAGTCATGATCGGCTGCGACGGTCCCAGCAGCCTCTTCGTGCGCGCGGCCGGAGTGTCAAACACACAGCTGACCATAACCTTGCAGCACAACAGCATGGCCTACACGACCAACGCAGCGCAGCTCACACACATGACTGGGTAGCTGCGACGCTCTGGGCATACGATCGCGGGATCGCCCGGCAATCTTGCTTCAGCGGCCCATTCTGCCCATTTGCAGACTGAAAATTCTCTTACGGGCACGCTCAGGCAAAACCAGGCTCAGAGTGTCTATGACACTACGGCTAGATCGAGCTGCGACGGCCTGAGCCCACATGCACTGCGAGCGGCGCCGAGCCCACATGCACCAGGCGATGGTGGAATAGTTGCTCGTTCTGACCCGTGGACCGCTGGACCGGTGGACCCGTGGACCGGTGGACTGGTGGACCCGTGGACCCGTGGACAGGTGGACCGGTGGACCAGTGGACCGGTGGACCAGTCGACCGGTGGACGGGTGACCCAGTGGACCGGTGGACAACAGGTGGACAACAGGTGACGACTGGTGGACGGCTTGTGGACTGGTGGACAGATGGACCAGTGGACCGGTGGACGACGGGTGGACCGGTAGACCGGTGGAGGGATTGGTGCACCAGTAGACCGGCGGACAGGTGGACGTGTGGACCAGTGGACCAATGGACCGGTGGACCGGTGGACGACGGGTGGACCGGTGGACCGGTGGAAGGATTGGTGCACCAGTGGACCGGCGGACCGGTGGACCGGTGGACCGGTGGACCGGTGGACCGGCGGACCGGCGGACCGGTGGACCGGTGGACTGATGGACCACAGGACCGGCGGACCGGTGGACCCGTGACCAGTAGACCAGTGGACAACAGGTGGACCGGTGGAAGAATTTTGATCGAATTTTGGACGTGGAAGATTTGTTGTGTGAGTTCGTGTTGTTAGCTGTGTGGTGTGCACTGTGTTAGTTATGTAAGCTAAGTGATGTGAGCTGTGGCGTAACCTATGTGGTGCAAGGTAGGCGATTCAAGCTATGCGATGTAAACTACGCGGTGTGTGCGATATTCTGCACTTGCCTATGGCCTCGCCGGTTACCCACAACTCCGACGTCGTGATTTGCTGAATACGTGCTTTCTGCTTGTCCATACTCTGGAGGCCGTTTCTGGGCTCCGGGACCTTCCAGTGCTCCGCTCCTCGAAACACCCCCCCACGTCCGCAACCAGCCGCTATTCCTATTGACCTCCAGCCCCCACCAGCTCATCACCGTTTCGTCCACCACCACCACCACCATCATTAGCAATAACATCATCATCATCATCAGCAGCATCATCAGCATCATCAGCATCAGCATCATCATGATCATCGCCAGCACCATCGTCATCGTCGTCATCATCATCATCGACATCCTCATCATCATCAGAACCGTCATCCTAATCATTATCATCATCAACATCATCCGCATCGCCATCATCATCATCCCCATGGGGGTGACCTTTGACATCGCACAAACATTTACAAGGTTGCAAGGCGGGCGATTGTCAAAATATGCGTAGCGCCTTCGCGCAACGTACACTTGCGGTCAAAGCTTCGAACAACTCTATGGATGAAGGGCGGCCCTCATTTAAGATGTGGCTCTCGTCGCATCGCCGCGATCACTCATCTTGAGACTCGACTTGACGCGTGCACAGGTGGAACGCGGACCCGCTTCAGAATGGGAATTTCGCCCGAGACGCCTTCAACAAGGAGAGGAGCACCCTCTCTCTTCCAGGAGCTGCCTCCTCAAAGGCTAGCCAATCCAAAAGCTCAAACGATTCACAGGTCCAGGTAGACCGGCGGCCCTATACCTGAACGGAAACCCCAGGTTCTTGGGTTCTTGGGCTCCCGGGTTCCGAGGTTCCTGGGTTCTCGGGTTTGGTGTTCCTGGGTTCCTGGGTTCTGGGGTCTCTGGGTTCCCAAAACCTCACGTTCTTGGGCTCGGAGGCTCCTGGGTTCTTTGGATCCTGGGTTAATGGGTTTCTGGGCTCCTGGGTTCATGGGTTCTTGGGTTCTCGGGTTCCTGAGTTCCTTGGTTCTTGGGTCCTGGGATCCTGGGTTTGGTGTGTCGTGGGTTCCAGGGTTATTGGGATCCTGGTTTCCTGGGTTCCTGGGTTCCCGTTTTCCAGTGGTTTGGGGGTCTGGTGTTCCTGGGTTCCTTGGTTCATGTGTTCATGGGCTCGCGGTTTCCGGGCTTCTTGGGTTCCAGGGTTCCTAGGTGTCTTGATTCCTACGTTCCTGGGTTTTCGGGCTTGGTGTTCCTGGGTTCTGGGGTTCCTGGGTTCCTAGGCTCCTGGGCTCCAGGGCTCCTGGGTTCATGGGTTCGTGGGCTCCTGGGTTCCAGGTTCTTGGGTTCCCGGGTTTCTGGATTCTTGGATTTCATGGGTTTGGGGGTTCTTGGGTTGTTGTGTTGCTGGGTTTTCTGGGTTCCTGGGTTCTTGGGTTCCTGGGTTGTTTGGTTCCTGGGTTCTTGGGTTTGGTGTTTCTGGGTTCTTTGGTTTTGTGTACCTGGGTTCCTGGAGAGAGATTAAAGTATCAAAATGAAAGACTCACTGAGTGATGAATAGAACGAAGGGTGGAGGACACATGGTGTACCTCCGTTGGTGGTGGTAGGCTCATGGTGCCCACCTTTGGTTTTTGAAGGGCCTTTGGTGCCCCTCGGTGCCCTCCCCGTCCCGTCCACAGAGACTTCGCACCCCCCCACTATAGTGGTCAGGTGGTGGACGGGGCGCCCCACCTGGCGTCGCACGTGCTACGCCAGAGGTGGTGGGGATTTTGCAACGATCGGTCTTGATTCCCTCCCTCCCATCCCTTCCCAGGGGCACAGAATCCCGTAAAAAGTCCCCCCAGGTAAGGCCCTACCCCTGGGGAGCGCCGAAGATTTACAGCAACCTCAGAGGGATCACCTGTGACAACTATTGCTTGGGCATACGGCTGCAGACACCACAGGCCGGTACACCTGGACGTAGTGCACCAATGCGTCGGGCCCGCGTTCCACGGATATTCCCGCCACATCTTAGGAGATAAAAGTGAGGAAGAAAACGGGGTCCAAGTGCATCCTCGTCCGGGTGACTTTCTGCCATTGCTTAAAAGCGTAAGGTGAGGAAGAAAACGGGGTACAAGTGCATCCTGTTCCGGGCGACTCCACGGATATTCCCGCCATTGCTTAGGAGAACAACTCCACGGGTATGTTCGCCACTGCCTGGGAGAAGAGATTCTCCCAGACGATGTTCTTCACTTGTTTTTGCACAGGCGCACAGAGCCTCCGACACCTAGCAGGAGGAGATGAAAATCGCGTTGTCACTCGTCGCCAAAATCGTTGCCACCAAGCGAAGACGTGGGAGAGCAGGGGGAGCGCGGGGGAAGGAAGAGGATTTTTGGATTGCGCTCTGATTCGCCGAGGAGACGGTCAGCTCGGCGCGGCACTCACTAGCTGCT